AATAGTTTTATTCACTAACAAGTAACACGTTTATTATTAATGTATTGGATACATAATGAAGATCATAGTTTTCACACACAATAAGCTATATATAGAACAAATTTCTCCCTTTTCACCATCGTCCACCGCCGCCACCACCGTAACCACCGCCATTGTCGTATCTAAACACCTTAATGTTAGAAAAAATGATGGCAAGTTACTAAGCAAACCACCTTATCAAATAAAAAGAATGATGCGGAAGCTCACTCAGCTTACCTAGCTTTCTTGGCAGCATAATCATCTCCTCCACCATATCCACGCTTCATTCCACCTCCACTGCCACCCCATCTGCCTCGACTAGTTCCACTTCCAGCTCTAGATTGTAAGTCACGGAGGGCTTGAGGGATTACTTGTCCAGCTTCTTCTAGAACCTTTATGAGGTCTCGCGCTTTAGGAGCATTTTGAGGGGTGAAGAAGGTGTAGGCGGTTCCCTAAACTTTATCATTTGAAATCTAGGCTCATCAAAGCTGATTATGCTCATACAGCCGAGATATAAGTAAAAAGCTTGTACCTTCAATAAAACTATCCTAACTTAGAATAAAATTATTCCTACCTTTTTTTCACGGCGTCCTGTTCGTCCTATGCGATGAACGTAGTCTTCAGAATTATTAGGATAATCATAGTTTATTACAAACTTGATGTCATCGACATCTGAAAAAAAAATAAAGGCATAAATAATCATACAAGCAATTGCTGTCACTACAGACTAAGTAAAGCTTGTACTAACAAAGGGTTGAAGACACGAATTTCAAGAACAACAGCAGCCGTACACAACAAACCGGCTGCCCTGTTCAAAGTTTCGTAACTATAACTTTTTTGATTTGCTAGTGTTTAGATATAATTTAGCTGCCATCCTGAGGTATAAAAATGTAATAAGTGTAGACAAAATATTGATGAAGGTAGGCCGGTTGTTGTCTACGGTTTATGCTCGAACAACCGACCTTTAGAGGTACACCCAACCTCATTTAGCAGTTCTTAAAGCTTAACAACACCCATCACTAGGGTTGGGCATCACCCCTAAAAAGTCATCCGCTTCTTTCGACTGCCATTTGTTTCCTTCATGTG